ATGCCTAGCTACTTGAGAGGCTAAGATTGGGAGAATCTCGGTTGGTTCAAGGCCAGCCAGGGCAAATAGTACACAAGACCCCATCTCCAAAATAACCAGAGCAAAATGGACAAGAGGCATGGCTCAAACCATGTTTTACAAGTGTGAAGCCCTGAGTTCAAACCCTACTCTTACAAAAAAAAAAACTACAGAAATTATAAAGAAAATACATAAACACATTTGAACACATGGATAGTAAAGATCTTTATATATCAAAATATTACATAACAAGATAAATCAGGCTACAAAATGTATTAGAAAGTCAACATGCCTTACAAAAGACAAGAAAGACTTCAAATAGAAAATGGGGTGCAGGATTTGAAAGGGAAATTTATCAGAGAGATAACATACAGGGCTGTTAGACAGATGTGGTGGTGCCTACCTGTAATCCCAGTGATTCAAGAGGCTGAAGAAGGACAATTGCAACTTTGAGTCCGGCCTGGGTAACTAAGAGGGGAACAGACCCTACCATAGATTGCTGTGGGAGTGTGAATTGCTTTACCCCTGGAAACTTTCAACATCCAACAACTATTTCTTCAGCACCTACTACACGTCACTCTATTCTATGTGAAGAGCAATGAACAGAACAGACACAAACTCTGCATTCCTAGAATTTACATTCTAGCAGAAAATAATCTGGAAATATCTAGTGACATTTTTTAAAATAGCACTTAACCTTTCATTTGGCAATCACATCTTGGGGGGATTTTCTTCTACAGATATCAAAACACAAGTACATAAGGACTATGTGTACAAGGGCAGTTACTCCAGCATTCCTGTAGTGGCAAAAACCTGAAAATAACTTAAATGTCCATCAAAGGGGGACTGAGTTATGGTAAGTTGAATCTATGGAAAGTTACTCAGCTATTAAAGAGAATGAAATTGAGCTTGGCCTACTGTCCCAGAGGAATGGATATGTTAATTTGTAAAGATGCATGATCTCATTTTGCTCAAATATTTGAAGTCTCCCCCTGAAGCCCTCTCTCGCTTTCTTTAGGTTATCTGTGTGCACAGGTTTAATGAGCACAGAGGGAAGGGCTACAGCCTGTTGACTGATTCTCTTGAGGAAACCAGCTTGGTTTTATGCTTATTTTTTTATTGTATAACGTTTGTTTCAATAACATGTATTTTGCAATTGAAAATAAAATCTAATAAAATTTATACTCAGTAAAGGCATTTTTAAAGGATAAAAATGTTCTAGATAATGGGATGGAGGGGGAAAATATTTTACTTTCTTCTTTGTATCATTCTGAGTTTTCCATATTCTCTCCAAAAAGAATGTGTATTCTTAAAAACTGATTAAAGGCAATCATTAGATTCAGAAATACATTGATGTTTGAAAAGAAAATCACTATTACCTAGGTGTAGTGATTCATGCCTATAATAACCAGCACTTAGGAGGCTGAGGCAGGAGTATCGTGAGTCTGAGGACAGCCTGGGCTACATAAAAGACTCTATCTAAGGTGTGGGAGGGAGAGGGGAAGAGGGAGAGGGGGAGGGGGAGAGGGAAAGAGAGGAGAGAAAGAAAGGAAGAGCGAAAGGAAGAAGGGAAAGAGGGAGTGGGAATGAGGGATTGAGGGAATGAGGGAGGGAGGGAGGAAGAGAGGGAGGGAGGTAGGGAGGAAGGAAGGGAGGAAGGGAAAGAGAAGAAAGGAAGGTTGCTGATTATGAAATAAAATCAAAGCTGTGGTTACAAGTCAGAAGAAAATGTATGAGCTGGTGCCAGTGGCTCACAAATGTAATCCTAGCTACTTGGGAGGCTGAGATCAGAAGGATCAGGTTCTAAACCAGCCCTGGCAAATAGTTCACAAGACTCCATTTCCAAAAAATAACCAGAGCAAAACAGACTGGAGGTATTGCTCAAGTGGTAGAGTTCAGACGCCAGTCCCACAAATAAATAAATAGATAAAGGGTTTATGTGTAGGGACTAAACTAAGAAGAAAAAAAATCTCTTTAATAAAGGTGGCATTGTGAGTGATTTTTTTTTTTTTTGGATGATACTGGGGTTTGAAGTCAGGGCTTTGTGCTTGCTATGCAGGTGCTCTACTGCTTGAGCCACACCTCCAACCCCATACCTCCATCTTTGAATGGTGATATATATACTTTTTTTTTTCCCCTGAGCGGGCGTTGGTGGCTCACACCTATAAACCCTAGCTGCCCAGGAGGCAGAGATCAGGAGGATTGTGGTTTGAAGCCAGACTGAGCATATAGTTCTTGAGACCTATCTCGAAAATACCTAACACAAAACAGGGCTGGTGGAGTGGCTCAAGTGGTAGAGCGCCTGCCTAGCAAGTGTAAGACCCTGAGTTCAAACCACCGTATCACCAAAAAATCATTTTTCTAAAGAACAACCAAAGTATGCTATTTTGGGAGAGGTAGGAACTAAACCTTTGAACATCTATCACAACCACCACCTCCAGAGGAAGCAGTATAAATCAATAGAGGAAAAATGGATACACACACACACAAGGCTAAAGGGGGAAACTTCTTTTGCTAGTGTGCTAATGCCAGAGGGCAATCCTGGACTACTAGGATGGTACAAGGGAACTCTTTTCTACCTTTCCCTACATCCCAGTTTGGAAGGATGGCCATGGTGGTGGGGGAGGCAGAGAAGGGGATGATGCTCTGTTTCTTTGGTAGGGATCAACCAGTCTCTCTGTGTCTCGCAAAGGAGTGGAAGGTGGGCCCCATAACCAGCTTCATCAAGCAAGGGCTACACTGGGGGGAAACAAATTGGAAATAGACTTATTTCAGCCTCTGGGTGTCCCAACTCAGAATTATAATCAGCTCAACTGGTGGTCTCTTGTGTCTCTTTCCAACAAAAGCTAAATAATTAATAGAAGTCTAGTTCATTATGTAACTTTAGCCAACATGCTTATAGATATTTCTGTGGTGACTCACATAGCCAAATGCCACCTAGAATCCTTAAGTAGGGTTTTGGTAGCAAGGCATCCTAGTGGCTTTACAATATCGGCAGGTCACTATAATGGCAAATCCTTTGTGTGCACCAATACCAAGACAAGTAACATGGGAGATAATGAAATGGGAAAACCCAAGAAAAAGTCTATGTTTTTGACCTCAAGCTAGATGGACTAAATTTCCCCCACAGAAGTCACAAAATGATTTTAAAATCCAAGTTGGTATAGATGCTGTGCAGACAACAGTGATGGTCTCCTCAGTATGAGAACTGTGAACTCCTGAAGGCGTCAAAGCACTTTCAGCTTGTTACAAGCTGAGGATGTCTTAACTGTGTAATCCAAGTCTCCTCATTTCTGTGTGCACTGTGCTGTGCACATGTGTGTGCATGCATGCCTTGTCTATAGCCAACACTCCAGCAGGGTAACTTAAAACAAAATAGGAATTTATTTACAATAGCAAAGATGTCAAAAATAACAGGAATAATACATCCAAGAAACAAATCCAAGATTTCATGAAAAAAGCATACAATACATACACGAAACAAAAGATCAAACAAAATCCACTGGGCAAACTTAATTATGACCTATCTAAGAAGCTGCAGAATGTGGCAAAATGTTTTTTGGATGAGTTACTTAAGTAAAACTGGGCCAATTAAACATTCTCCGACGCACGTGCACACATGCACACACACACACACATGCACGTACCATTTTCAGCCCTTCTCTTTTTCTTACCAAATCTTCCTCTGAATTCTATTTACCTCTGAGGAATGCAACTCTGGAAGGCCATGTGAAATTTTCGAAGTGTAGTCTATTTACACGTGCACTAAAGGATTGACGCATCTATTGCCTGGCAGGCTCACACTTTAAGGAGGAAGCCAAAGGTGGAAACTCTCTGGGTCCTATTTTACCCTCACTGTCCATTTCTGGATGCTTTTTGTGATTTTCTTGTCTGCCACAAATGCTACACCAGTAACGTTCTTAACTTCCTCAAGTGCTCTAAAACAATGTTTTCCAAACCTGAGCATGCAACATAATCACCAGGGGAACGTGTTAAAATAGATCAGTTTTCCCAATTCAGTGGGGACTGAGGTGGGGCTGAGAATTTGCCATGTGACTAAGCCATACTTTGAAAACCACTGCCTCTTTTAAGACTTTGATTGGCCATGCCTTTTCTTACATGAATCCTAGAATCTGCTGGAAATAGTTAACACTGACATTCCTAGAGAACAGGGAAGCATGTTGTGGGACTGGGTGGGACCACAGACAGACAGACGTCATTTGTCAGGTGGTCTACTACAACTAAAGTTTTCAGCACGCTGTGGTTCTGGACAGTGATGCTCGCCACGTTCTCTTGATCATTTCTTCAAGTTCTGATTACTGTTCCAACCATTAGGCCAAAAACTGTTCTTACAGCTGAACTGCAGTCTCATTTTGAAAATCAAAGTGATACAAATCTCTTTTTTTACTCAGTTCTCAGAACTTCTACTTAGCTTCTGATTTTCACCATGACAATGACCATCCTCTAGCATGGTAAGTGTCTACTGGAACCCTCCAAATTGGGCACAAAGGGCTAACTCAAAGGCAGGGCTTTTGCAGTGGAAGTGGTGACAGTCCCCACTGATTGGATGTGTGATAGATTGATACTGAAATGAACTTTAAGTGCTCTCAAAATCCACTTTATGCATGGGTAATTTATCTCAGGGGAATTGAAGATGCTAATAAAACAAATCCTTTATGAAGATAAAAGAAAAAACTGAATTGCAAGGCCATGCCCATCAAAGCACTCGCCAGCCACCACTTCACTTCTCTAAATATTACTTGCAAATTCACGGGACTGAAATATTATCAGTATTTGCATCCAAATCGCAAAATTCAAAGCAATCAAACCTTTTGCATTCCACTGCTGCATAAAAGGAATTAAGAAATGGGGATGTGAAAATAATCCTCTGCTTTTGATGTTTATTAGGTTTACAAAAAACTGTACAGTTTTTTTCTGAAGAAAAAGCATTAACTTAGTACTGGTATCAAATAAACTAAACATTCATTAACAGGAAAATATTCTGAACTTTATTTTTGCACGTTATTCTCAAGTACACAATTACAATAATGTCACACATCCCTATATGATTTTCTTTTTATGTATTTTACTTTTTTTACAAAGTGTACAGAGGGAGGGACATACAATATTTAATAGGTATTTCTACAGAACAATAACTTATATTATGTCCTTGTAAAAATCTGTACCTCTTTAAAACATTTAACTGAAACATCCATTTTTAGCTTTGCTAATCAAAATTGTTTTAAGAATTAAAACTAGGTTGTAACTAATGTCAGTACATAACAGTGACTACAATTTCATTTTCTCTTTATACAGACAAATACATTTTATATTCACTTGACCAAACCCTTAAATACCTTTTAAAGGCTTCAATATTGTGCTTTAAAAAGAAAAGAACTGTGTATGATTCCAGATTATGTAAAGAGAAATATATAAAGTATGTAAAGTATTGTGTTCTTTATCTTTCAGTTTATTTAAAAAAATATAGTTAAATGACCCAATCAGTATTTTCTGTATTAATTTTATAGGATGTTTTAAAATTAGTAAATTTCCACATTTAGGTGTATTATGTTATTTCTGGGGAAGATAAAAATTAAGGGAAATTTCAAAGGTTCTCACAAAAAAACAGACAGAGGTTTCAAGAATAGCAGGGCAATAAATCACACAATTGTTCAGTTACTTTTTTTTAAAAGCACGTTAGGAGAGGCTAAAACGGTACAGGAATTCCCTATGGTACAGAATAGGGAACCACGCCTTGGCTTTGACTGGCATTAGATTAGAGTTCATACCAGCCTAAAGCACTTGTTTTAGAACTAGACCAGATCAATCTAGCACTTCAGAGGCTTGCCAAACACCAAACAGAGATATCTAACCCTAAAAATATAACTCTGGAATACAAATATTGATGGCAAAGAGAAAGATGAAAGGTAAAAACCTAACGGCACAAAGGGGATGGAGCACCATAATGAGGTGGCAAGGCAGCTATCGAGTAGGAAGAAATTTCTAAATCTCCCTTGATGTGCCAAGTATGTGTGCTGACAGGCAATTCCAGGGACCCCAAGAACTGTTTCTGTTCTCCAAGAGTTATCTTAACATAATCAAACTCTAATTAACCAAGTTCATTTTATAAATTTATGACTGATGCATACCTGTATGTTGGAAACTGCCAATTCTCAAAGAAAAGTGAAACTGAAAGATTTGGTGAGGTTCCAAATAAGGCCTCAGATTTTCCTTATGCACTTGGAACACACCTTTATCTCCTAATCCAAGCCAACTTGAGTGGTAAATTTTCTAAGCTTACTAACTAACTGTTGAAGAAATAACAGAGCAGGCTGAACTTGCCAATTTTAAGTCATAATTAGCACCCGTTCTCTGGTCCATGGAGCCATCACACTCTCTCTGTCCCCCTCCCTTGTTGAGATAAGAGTTCTCTCTCAGGCATCTCAGAGAGAAATGAGGGACTCACATCTGGATACTCATTAGCTTTTCAGAAAAATATAAAGGCATGGAGCTGAAACTATGAAAACGTTCTATCTATAAACATCTTAACCTCTATTTTTTGATTATTTTTCAATTACCAAAGATATTTAAAAGAAAATACCTTTACTCTTTAAAAATACTAGTGTCCTTATTTTTCCCTCTAATTCTTCACCTGAGTAGTCTCTCTGAAGAGCAAGACTAACAAAATGCTCTCTCATGCATCCCTGGATCTTTCATGTTATTGTAAATTTAATAGTTTCATTACAGTTTTTAAACAACTACTACTGGGAGTTGTGTGTATATATGTAAAATAAGCAATACACACAGATACATGTTACATATATATGTATATATATAATTCAGGGTACATTTACATATATAAAGTTGCAGAAGATCCTATGAGTCACGAATTACCTCTAGGAGATTCCAAAATGCAGTCCTCAGTTAAGTGTCATTTGTAACACACAACCATTCCAAGACAAAGCAGCACAGACAGAATAATCAAAATACAACAGAATTGAGTAAAATTTTCCAATAAAGTTTTCTAAAGTTTGCTACACTGACGAAAGATGTAAATAGTCCAACAGAAACCAAAAAGAATATTTTGTCTGCTAAACAAAATGAAAAGTAAACACGAACCCAGCCACTAGTCTTTATTCAGCAATGCCAGGGACACAAAAGCTCAAATGCAAACTTTCATTGTCATATGGCCTGAAAATATTAAGCAAGACAAGCAAATGACCTCCATGTTATGATCATTAGACCTAGCTGTAAAATCACCCATTCATATTAGAGGTCTCTGACAATTTTATTGTGAGAAATTTATGGGGGAGAAAAAAGTCAACATGAATACTTTCAGAGTTACCAATCTAAAGTTACCTTAAGTTCAATGGTCTTAGAAGAGTACCATCAAGGTAAGCAAGGTAATTATTTAAATAAATATAAAACTCCTAAGATAGAAAAATTCAGAATAGAATCAGGGATTACTTTATTACAAGCAACAAGCTAACTGCTGCTTTTCCCCATTTATTAAACAAACTGAATAGAATTCAGAACACACTATTGAACAAAATGTAAAAAAAAAAAGTCAACTAGAAGAATAATTCTATTTGTACACAGCATAAATCAATATACAGTATTGTATGTGAACAAGACTGATTGGCTTTTAGATGAATATTCTGCTTCAAGGCCAGTTTCTCTACACGTCTGTAGAAGTATTGTTAGGGCAAGCTCACTTCTTTATGATGTCGCATTATGTGCTGGTTCTTTTCTGAGGGTCTTCGGAACCCTTTCTTGCAGTATTCACACCGGTGAGGATAGTCTTTTGTATGAATGGAGATAACATGCCGTTTAAAGCCTGAGGCATCTGTAGTGCTATACTCACAGTACTCACATTGATAAACTTTCCGGCCACTGTGTGTCTTCATATGCTTTTTAAGCTCATTTTGTTGCCGAAATCCCTTTCTACATCTCTTACATCTAAACGGAAGGTCCTTTGTGTGAACCGAGAGAATATGGCGACTTAGCACAAATGGATCTGCAATCTTAAAGTCACAATGTCTACACTGGTGCATTTTTTTACCCTTGTGGGCAGCCACATGTTTCTTGAGTTCTGAAGGCCGGTGAAAGCCTTTATCGCACATGTCACACTTATGGGGGTAGTCCTTAGTGTGAACTGAAATTATGTGTCGCTTCAAATCGCTTGAGTTCGAACTCTTATGGTCACAATGCAAACACTGATGTGTTTTGCTCTCTTGGTGGATAAGAGCATGTTGCTGCACCTCTTTGGTATCTGAGAAAGTCAGAAGACAAATGTCACACTTAAATGGCATTTCTTTACTATGCTTAGTTTTTACGTGCGTTTTCAAGTTAGAAGAGTCTGCAGACCTATATTCGCAGTACTGGCATTGGTACGGTTTCTCCCCAGTATGGATTCGCATGTGCTTTTTGAGCTCTGATGGGTGACGGAAACCTTTACCACATTCTACACAAATATGGGGAAAGTTCTTGCTGTGGACCGCCAAGAGGTGGCGATTCAATAACCCTTGTTCAGCTGTCTCATATTCACAGAATTTACACTTGTGCATTTTGTTGGCTCCTTTTTCCTTATGCACCATTTTGTGAGTAAACAAAGCCCCCGTGTGAGAGAAATGCTTCCCACACTCATCGCATTCAATCGCCTTCTCTGCCTTGCTGGTCAGCTTGTGGCTCTCCAGGTGATTGTGTAAACTTATCTTCTTATTGGTAGTGTAATCACAGTCAGTACAGCGGTACTTCTTCTTGGCAAGGTGTTCAGGGTGGTTTTTCATGTGCCTTTTCAAGAAACCTCTCGACTTAAACTTCTTCCCACATATCATGCAAGGGTAGACTGTCAAGGGATGTCCATCAGGGCCAATAATTATTGCTAAGGAAGGAAAAGAGAAGAGCATGAGTTATCAAACCAAGTTCTGTTTTGGTTTCTTTAAAAATTTAGTGTGTGTTCTAAACACTACTGGCCAAAGCAATTTGCAACTGAATATTGCTTTAATCATTTTTCAAATGGTCATGAGAACCTGGTGTGGAAACCACTTAGTAAGACAGCACCAACCTCATTCTCTCCAGTTTAACAAAATGAATGAATAAACATTTAACTTCTATCAACTAGTGATTAGAGACTTATCAATTTAGAAATCTAAGGGGAAATTCTCTACAAGTTTAGTAATTAAAGTTCCTACTTTGGCTATTTAAGAAAACATACTATATGTTAATTTACAGGAAAGCGTAAATACAGCTGGGGGTGTGGCTCAAAAGGTAGCATATCTACCTAGCAAGCATAAGACTCTTGAGTTCAAACCCCAAGAAATGCAAAAAAAGGCTTAAATATAGCTATAAAGTTTTTAATATACAAATAAGCTTACAAGAATATGTAGAATATAGGGGCTAGGCTGGGTGGCTCAAGACTACAATCCCAGCTACTTGGGAGATGGAGATCAGGAGGATTGCCAGCCCAGCAAAAAGTTAACATAATCTCCATGTCAACAAAATAAGCTGGATGTGGTGGTATGCGCCTGTCATCTAAGTGACACCTGAGATTGTAGGTAAGAGGGCCTTGTCCAGCCAGCCCTGGGCAAAAAATAATCTAAAGCAAAAAGAGTTGGGGGAATGCCTCGAGTGGTAGAGTACCCACCTAGCAAGCACGAAGCCCTAAGCTCAAACCCCAGTACCATCAAAAATTAATTAAAAGAGGCAGAATATGTCATAGGACCTGAAATGCTTAACCTGCTCTACAAATTACACCTGCTTTATGTCCACATAATTAGATTGTTTAAATATACTAATTTTTTAAGTTAATGCTTATAACAAAGGACTCATTTTCACGTAAAAATCATTCAAGTTTTGAATTTTTTTCATCCATTTCCTGTTTCTTTTTATCCGAGGAAATCATTCATGAATATCACTGAATTCTGAAAATTATATTTTCAAATTCGGTAACACAAAAGCTACATGTGGTCTAGCAGCTAAAATGCCATCACACCATCCCTATGGATACACATAGAGTTTCCTCTGAGAGCTTGCAGAGCACGCTGCGCTGTGGAACTCGTGAGCCCTCACCTGTTTGGTACTGCCTGGAATCAGGTCTTCTCCTTTTCTTTGGTTTTTGTTTAGCCAGTCTGCCGAGGCCAGCAGACTCATCTATGTGCAAGAGGGCACTTGCAGTGCCATTCCGGTTTTCAATTCCATCAGAATTATTACCTAACAATGCGCATTAAAAAACAAAATTATACAGAATTATGAATTATAAAGAATTAGGAATTCTTTATTAACTATGACAATGAAAAGTAAGTCATGATACTCATGAATGACAAATATTCCCCATTCTAGGTAATGGGTTTTATGAGCACGTTAATTATAGCCAAGATGGTAGGAAATGCCTAGCTTCCAAAGCTAAAAACATATGTCAGCATTTTCCCCGTGGACTCTCTTGTTGTCTCCCAAAATTGTAAAGTCATGGGCCAGATATAATCAAGATGAAAAGTTTCAGGTTGAAAGCCTATGTACTTCTTGCAGTACTTCCTTTTACATAATATACACACAAATGAAATTCCTGTTAAAAGTAAAGACAAAAAGCAGACTTTATAATGTTCCTCTACTCTTGTTTAAATCAAATAATCCTTACAAGGTACTGGTATTTAGATTTCTGAAATCTAAGACCACAGAAACTGTTTTTCAATCACAAATTAATGTTCAAGAATCAACTCAATCCAAAGAGCTGCTCTATGACATACCATAAGCTGCTGCCCATGCGATTGGCATGAAGGTTTTGATTTCACTGTCATCCATTTGCTGTTCATGTACAGCAGCAGCTGCTGCCGCTGCCGCTGCTGCATCCTCCTCACCCACGATCACTTCCATATAAACTTCATCAGCGATTTCAGCAACATCTAAGCAGAAAATTATACGAACTTTTCTGACCAGGTTTACAGAGATCACAGGAAAGATACTTTTATTTCAAGTCAGTAAATAAGCAAATGGAAAGAGGGTCCAAGTATTACATAGCCAGAACCTAGCATTCACAAGGTAAGCACTTAATAAATATTTGTTGAATGAATTATTCACTTCTTTGCTAGCACCATATCTGATTTGAATGCAACATTCTAAACATACATAAAGAATAACTGGTTTTCCTTGGAAAATGGCAGCATAATATTCTCTAAAATGATGCTACTTGTTTCCGTCAAATACTGGTCGTTTAAAAAAAGAGAGGAGAGCTATAGAAACATAAAATGTTCTCCCACAAAAAGGCCACCTACTTACTTAAATCTTCGTCTTCTTGCTGAGAGTCATTGACAGTCATATAAACCATCTTTTCCCTTGGAACACGAATACTGTTATTCTGATCCAGCACTTCCACTCCATGGTCATTCTCAGGCTCACTCTCCACAATGTCTACGGTTCCACCTATCAGAGAAGATGGCTCCAAGCATTTATTTGAAAATTTCATTCCTACTTCTTCCTTTTTACATACGTTTCTGTTGCTACATTAGAATTCTTATTTAAAAATCATCTTCAGAAAAGATTTCAAAAGTTTTCAATCTACATGACCCAGAAACAATCAGGTTATATTTGACCAGGATGTAAAATATTGTTTTCTCTTACCCAAGTCATCTTCTCCAGGGTCAGCTTTAAAAATGTACACCTTGATAACTTCAGGACAAGTGCCATCCACTTTACAAGGATCGATTTCTGATTCTGCGTCCATGGTCATTTCAGATGAACCGTCATGTTCTATTTTGCCAGCATCATCCACTAAACAGGCAGGAAATATATCACAAATACTAATAGGAAATACTTAAATAAAAGATTACTGCTTTCAAAAGTCCTTTTTACAGATCTGGGACTATGGCCTATGTGGCAGAGTACCTGCCTACCAAGCACTGCCAAAAGGAGAAAAAAAAAGTCCTTTTATACAAACAATCTCTAACATGACTCACGTAAAACTGGATGAATTTACCTAGACCAACAGAAGGCTCAATAAATACATTTCTAAAGATTTCTTAAAATGGAATCAGATATTAAAGCAGAAACTACTATACAGACAAAACCTCTGGTAGCCTAGAAAACTATAAGTTAATAGGAAGAATAAAATTAGCCTATATGTAAAAGCATTCCTACATTAAATACATTCTTTTAATACCTAAAATGATGTTCAAACAATAGCCTAGTCGTAAAAATTAAAAAGCCTTCATATAAATATTTTACAAGCACTCCTTCCTAGTTATTATTCTTGATCTATTTCCACCAGCATAATATATCTAAATATAAACAAAACACGATTGCCAAAAGGTACACAGCAATGAGACAGCCAGTGGAAATTCTAATTCAGTCTGCTTAAACTTACAACCACACATACACACACCTTTTTTTATGACAGTAATGAGGCTAGGTCCTTGATAGCAAATGTAGCAATATGTGAACTCAAACAAATTGTCATATACCCACTGCCCTCCTTAATGCCTGGGTTATGTTAAAAGGAAACGAAAAAAGAAAATGGAGGTGCATATTATTTCCAGTAGTACAAAGTCGGGATACATACTGAACATTACATTTTTCAAAGCTGTGTAAACATAGCCAAAGAAATAAGTGTGCTGTTATGCATAAGATCTAGAAAATAAAACACAAGAAAATGATGTCTTTAAAACTCTGGATCTGAGTAAAAACCAAAAATACAATCCCCATATAATGTAACCTTATATTACACATCACTTATTAGCATCTCTAGCACAAAAATGTGGCAAAGATTAATGAAAACTCATCACCTAGGACACTAAAGGAATGTTCTCTCTACTCTAGGAACAACTGGTCTATCTGACATAGTCCAAGCCCAAGCAGGAGTGAGGACTAGAAAAGAAGGCTCGTTTACCTTGTCCTCCATAGCCCCAAAAAGCCTTTCCATTTCCCCCTTTTCCTTTTAATTCCCTTTCTGGTGTTCCCCTGCTAGATATATACTTTCCTTTAGGTTGGACATTTATGTTTACTCAATTCAACAAACAGTGGATCACAACAGTATATTAAGACTTGGCTAAGTGGCTAGGCCAGTGGCTCACATCTATAAATCCTAGCTACTCAGGAGGCAGAGATCTGGAGGGTCTCAGTTCGGGGCCAGCGTGGGCAAAAAGTGAGACCCTATTTCAAAACTACCCAGCACACACACAAAGAAAACAGGCTGGTGGAGTGGTTCTTCAAGTGGTAGAGCACTTGCCTAGCAAGTGTGAGGTCTTGTGTTCAAACCCCAATACTGACCAAAAAAAAAAAATTAGGAGACATAAATATGAAAAAGTGATGGACTCCAGAAGTTTACAGTCTAGTGGGAGAGCAGCAAAGTAGACAGATGATTATTTTAAATGTAGTAATAATACAGCTATTTATTAAGTGACTGAAGTATGATTTAGTACTTACAACAACCCTATAAAGTAGGTGGTACAGTTTTATCAACATTTTACAACAGAGCAAACTGAGGTTTAGAGGTTATTTGGAGTCACATAGAATTCAACTCTCAAGCCACCTAAGTCTCAATCAGAGTTTGCCAACTTCTGGCATTTGGAGAATAGCATGGCAACTGGCAAAGGCAACTGTGACTTCTGCAAACTCAGTGAGTAGTTTTAACTATCTAAAGATGCTTTCCTTTAATGGAAACCAGATGGATGTGTTCATGACTCAAGCAGGCAGAATTAGTACTGCAACCAAGGCTAGGTGGTGGTGGTTTTGACCACTGTAATGTTTTTAGTTCCTAGTCATCTCTTGTGTAATTTACAATCACAAAACCAAGACAGAACTCATATTGCAACATCTTTGAAGTGATACTTCTGCAAAGTCCTATCATCAGGTTCCAAAAGTGCCTGTATCTAATCAAAATTCTTCCTATCAAAATTCTTACATAAATCAAGATAAATATGGAATTTCCAAAACCAACAATTTATCAACTTGGCTTTTCACTTACTGAAAATCAAGACCATCCACATCACTGTACAGACCCAGAAGTGGTGGCTCATGCCTGTAATCCCAGCTACTCAGGAGGAAGAGATCAGGTGGACCGTGATTCCAGGCCAGCCTGAGCAAAAAGTTAGTAAGACTCCCATCTCAACAAAATAAGCCAGACACAGTGGTACATACCTGTAGCCCCAGAAAACATAGGCAGGATGATCTTTGTGTAAGACCCTAACTGAAAAATAACTAAAACAAAAAGGGCTGGAGGTATGGTTCAGTGGTTAGAGTGCCTGCCTAGCAAGCTTGAGGCACTGAGTTCAAACCCCAGCACGGGGTGGAGGCTGGAGGGGGTGGGGTAGAGCTGCCACATAGCATACCTAAACTCCCAAACCTTTCTCATTTGTCATTTATAAGCATAAAAATGATAGAATGTAATCAGCTTGCTTCAAATGCAAAGTGCCAAGAATCCCAAACCCTGAGCCACTGAAAGCAGTTATTTTGGTCTCTCTGGTTTTTT